CTGCATTAGAGACGAGACGATAAGACGCTTAAATTTCACTGTAAATTAATGAAGTATCAACTATAGTGAAAGTAATGTTCGTTATTTATGCCTAAACAAGACTCACGAATTCGCAGTTCTGTAATGTAAAATGTATATGTAGAGAGAGTCTCTGTACACACAAAAAAAGATGAAGATGTTATCATTAGAAGATGAAGATGTCAAAAACATCATTCACCAGAAATTTTCTACTACTTTTCCACACAGAACCTGCCTACAACTATCAACCAGGTTTACATTTTAAGAACAGACGTTCCGCATTAAATTCGTTGTCATGCAGGCTCACTTTAAAAATCCTTTCAAAAAGTGGATTTGTCGACGTCTTAACATGTGAAATTTTGAAATGGAATGAAATCCTACATTGAATGTTAATATTCATCTTGAATGTTAGTTTTCATCCAGAAGACAATATATCTTTTGGGTGCGTTTGCAGGTTTGGTTTCTCTTACATTGGCTTCTGAAGTAAGAACCGCAAGGTGGGAGAGATTTCTTTGCAAGCTATCGTTTCATCAGTAAAAGCAGAAATCTCTGTGAGAAATGGAGTCGTATTAACACACTGATGACCCGAGATGTCGGAAGAGATCAGTAAGCTATTTATTATCCCTGCCATGCCATTTTTATGAAGCGCCCTCTTGACGGCCGAAGCCAAAGCGCAAAATACGAAATTTTCTAGAAGACTCGAAGTCGTGACTTCGGGATATTGCAAGCGTCAAACGCAAGAAATTGCGAAATCTAAAGCATTAATTACGGATGAAAAATTAGCCAGTGCTATTCCGTAGCGTAGTCAACAAGTTACGTATGTCCACGAACAAAATCGGAAAAGAAATTTCTATTTTACAATATTTTGTACGTGTTCTAATTAAAGAAGATGGCTGGTAAAGCCATGGGAAGTTTTTAAGAAAATCCCCGAAATATCTACGCTCAATTATATGAACTGAACATTAAAACTTAAGAAAATTTAAGCTGTCGAACCGCAGACAACGCACTTGAATAATAAATTGCCCTGTTCCTCCATTACATTGCGTGATTTTTCTTCTGATTTATATGTTAACTAATACGCATCTTTATGAAAGCATTATAGTTGCTTATTATTTTAAAGGCCAATCCTCGGACAGTCAAATCAATTATCGATTTGAATTATCATGATCTATGACTAAATAATATCTAACTCTACTTTGAATTCGCAACTCAAGGTGTATATCCACTGACTGTTCAACTATTTGTGGCATGGATGGATCAGAGAACCAATCTATCGTTGATGAAAAAAGGACACAAACTCCATAAAAATTAACAACTGAAAGTGGTATCGTTCATTTCGCGTTAATTATCGTTATTTACTTCGCTAACAACAAACTCAAAACAAAATATTTCGTTCAATAATGCAAAAAAAACAAGATTAATCCTTTCTATTAACATCAGAGGAACATTATTTCATTGCATTTCGATATACATTTTCATAAGTTTTGTTTGTGTATAAAAATCTGGCTGAGCAGAAAAAAGTCATGATTTAAGTCATTTAGAAATTTCCAGTTTTTCATGAACGATGTAAGCTTGATGAATCAACTATTGATTTAATTCAATCTATCATCCATCACTATCATTTAAATCAATCTTACCAAACAAATTGCCTTCTTCGCTGTGCCGAAAATTCATTAGACTTTTCATGCCACCGAAAGCGCTTCAGGAAAAATCAAACCAAGAGGTTAATGGCCCTTGATTTTAGCCTCTTTTGCAGAAAATTAAAGCTCCTAAATGTAGGAGGATGGAACGGCAAACATTTATCAAGACTAGGATGACTGATGAACTATTTACGGATTTGGACTTATCTATTTCAGCTTCGCAAGCCATCTCAAGATTTTAATTGCGAAAGCTCAATAAAAAGTTGAAGATGGGAAGCTACTTCTTTGATTGAATTTATCCGTTTTTGTTAAGTTTTTGGTTATAATGCCTATTTTTATAGTGGTTTCAAACTAAAATAAAAAATTTTTGTTGTTATTTTATTTAATTAATTATGTCGATGAGCTATGCAAGTTTTATCTCGTCTATTCCTCATTTTGTAAGCTTCATTCCCTTGGTTTCCATTGCAGGAAAATTACATTTTTTTATCAACGGTTTTAGTTTTGTTTGAAAAATGAGCCAGCAAATAATATTATTTTACAAGATATACCATTTAGATTTCGAAACTTTATACCAACGACAGTAAAGGTAACAGCATGATGAACTTACAATCTTTCGTGAACTTGCGTATAATTAATTCGAGTTATTTATGTATAGTTTCCATGTACGATAACTTGACTGGTCATATATTATAAGCATCATCCATTAGACCAATGGAGTCTCAACTTATGAGATTAATTAGATCTATGGAGTCTCAACTTATGATATTAATTAGATCTATGGAGTCTCAACTTATGAGATTAATTAGATCTATGGAGTCTCAACTTATGATATTAATTAGATCTATGGAGTCTCAACTCTCAACTTAACTCAACATTAGATCTATTAAGTCTCAACTTAAGTATTATCCATCCTGTCTCAACTTGAGCCAAATTAAATTCACTATTCAGTAAAATAATCAATATTTTTGACTTAAATTTGAAAGTACTCCATAACTATTTATGCTGTAATTAAATATTTTCCATAGTATTATCAACAATAATATTATGGATATTATTATAATATACTTATTATAATATACGTTTCAAGGAAGCAGCAAGAGCAGAGCGCCGCGGTATAGGCGCTATCGGACGATGTCTTTGCGCCAGAGAGAGTGCGAGGAAAAAGTAAGCGTTGTCTAAGCGAGAAATGTTCCGGGGAGATCGGGCGAGTCGGCTGCATATCAAACGCAGTAGGAAACGTGACCAGCATTGCAGAGATGACTGATTTGCCCAGTAAACTCACACACCAACTTATTCTTATTCTGAAGACCCTCGGCGCCTGGGCTTGTTACTCAGATCCTCGTACTCTTACTCAGCGGCACTGCAAAACGCTGTAGTATTGGCGGGTAACTGCGCACGCTTAACTGTGTGATCTATAATTGTTTTCCTTAGTTAAATTGTGGCGAAGAGATCTGACAGTAACAAACAGAAATATAAGTAACAGATGCAATTTTATGCATCATTTTTATTTAAATCGCCATGACATAGGTAGGTACGCTGTGGTTGAGTTAATTCATTTTTGTTTGAAAAGTCTTGAGTATATTATTATTAGGTTTTCATCAAAACAGTTTCTCACGAGGAAACGGTCAACGTGTAGTTTTTGTCGCAATGCATTTAATTTAAAGTATTATATTCGTATATAATTCTGACAATCTAGGAGAGTTTACCATTAGAGAACATCGCATTCATCTAACCTGGTCACATAATGATGGAGAAGCTCGCCTCTCTGACACACATACTGGCTGTTTATTTGCTGCAGAACCAGAGCAACTGGGCCGTAAACAACGTAACGTGTAAACACCTCAACAGGCGCTAGAAAAAGACGTAAACAAACCACCGCCCCCGCTGAAGTACGTACCAGATACCGAAAAATGAGGCCGTTGTAAACAAATGCAGGCCTGCAAACCGCTCACCACCAGTGCTTCTATATATAGTTCGGTGATACGTTTTCGTGAACGGAAATAGGTAAAACAGGCCAAAAATCTATAATAGAAACAAATTAGAAAAACTGTAGTTATTATCATACTTTCGTCCCAATATTGCCATCAGTCAATGCAGTTTTATTTACTTGGAAACCATCTGATTTTTGAAATAATAGCAGGTTTTGAGACTTCAGGAATATTATTCATATTTCAGACGACTTTACATCGAACTGTGGATGCTCCATTTGAGGTACATTTAAAATGTTCGCTGCAGCAATTTCAGCTTCGTATACTTCAATGGTTCGAAAAAAATATAACTCAGTACTCACTGCAGTGAGTGACAGAGAGCGCATTTTCTCGTCGACGAAAACTTGAGGTCACGGACGGACCTACAGACGGATGGACAGACAGACACACGGACATGTCGAGCACAATAGTGCATTTTTTCCATAAATGAGAAAATGCGCTAAAAAGGAAATTTAATGCTTTTCTTTAGCACTATAAACAAACTTTAGAGAATTTTTTTGGGTAAAGGGAATTCCTAATCTTCAAATTTTTCTTTCAATGATTAAATTGTTTAGAAAAATTTACAGTTCTTATATAAACATTATTTTCACTATTCGGAATATCTCTTTGAATATTGATATTATAATTCAACTCAATAGAGCCATAACTTTATTAGGTAGTTCGGTCGTAGCTACAGATAATTCTGAGGGCAAGAATTTCTTGGTGAGTAGCCGAAATTCTAAGTGTCAATGTTTGCCAGCGCAGGATTGCCAGCAAAGTTATAACTCGATATCGGCCGGTCGAGTATGTGTGAATGCAAGAGAAGTGAAGGAAATTTCTCGCTGAAGTTTATGGAAAATTATTACCTAGATTTCAATCTTATCAAGTGTCACGGTTATTCCGAAACTTCATGATAATATTTCGAGTCGAAATGAACGTAACGAGAAAAAAACCTTTTTCTCACATATATAGGTTATTAAAACTACTTTTTTTAACTCAAGTGTATCTTGTTATCCATATCACATATCATCCATATCACAGAGCTGCATGGTCCTTGTTGAAATTCTTACCTTCAGAGTTAAGCTCTTGCACATTTGAATATAATTGTAAAAATAATGACATTCTGAGTGTTTGCCAAATTTTCACTTACTTAACAATTTATTTTTCATTGTTACGTGGATTAAAAGTTCCGCGGATTGAGGGAGGCGCAACGATACCGAAGCTACAACGTACGAGCAATACAACAAGATAGAGAAATTGCTTATAATATTCAATTTACTGTAAATTACAACAATTAACTGGGAGAACAAACTGCAGATATTTAAAATACTGGTGCAATGGTGGTGGAGTTCTAATTTTTTCCTTTTCAGATATGGAATAATAATTATTTATATTCAATGAGTAATGTGAAATCATTTTAAATCTCTAATATAAGTCTAGTGAACTGAAGCACTCCAGTATAAACATCCTTGCCATCGTTCCTCTATTTATAAATTCTTCTATTTTGCCAACTTGAATAAATTCAACTACTTGCTGTGTGCTGGTGAAAAAATCATATTAATCGTTAGTTTCTTACTGAAATTAAGAAACTAACAATTCAAATTCAACTACTTGCTGTGTGCTGGTGAAAAAATCATATTAATCGTTAGTTTCTTACTGAAATTAAATGGAAGAAAAGCGAGTTACCCAAGCTTCGCAAATTTACTAAAAAATCAATTCAACTATCATCAGGAATAAGATTGAGTATCAAAAGGCCAAGCTCGGTAGTTCATCATATAATAACTTGAACTATAAAATAACAACAATGTCGAGAGGCTTCAATACGAGCGGAGGAGCGACAATGTTATTTTACGCACTCTTGATATGCTGGATTTGTTGCTCGGCATCTGCTTCACGTCTGGGTAGTTTGGTGAAGCGAGAAGCCGAAGATGAAAGCTTTTATGCAGATGAACCGCCACCCACTCTGCCTCCTGATTTCAACATCTGCGACTTGAAAGGCAGTTACCCCATATACTGCTACTGCAACTACATCACGCCCAACGACGTGAGTAATGTGTAGCGATGATACAAAAATGTAACTCAACCTAACTTCGAACCAATAAAATTACGATCTATTTACTTGATCATTTACTGTTCTTCAATAACCTTTACTTGATTTGAAGGAAAAAGATAAAATTGAAAATTTAAGTTACGAATTTTTTTCTTAAGAGCAAATGTTTTTAACTTCAAACCAGTAAATTAACGCCTTATTTACTTCATCATTTACTGTTCTTTAATAACTTCTTTTTTATTTTGAAGTAATGAAGGTAAGATTGAAAATTTAAGTTACAAATTTTCTTCTTAACAGCAAATGTTTCTCTGTTTCATTGTTCAGGCGACAGAAGGGAACTGCTGGATCATTGACGACATGTCGTCAGACGAGAACCAGCACATCTGGGAAGGCCTGAGTACCCAGTCCGGGATACAGACCCTGACTCTGCACCTGCGCTCTGACGGGATCCTACACAGGATACCATCTATTGCCATACAACATTTGCCGAACATCAAGTCTTTTGAGGTAACAACAGATGCAATGAGTTGCACATTTTATTGTTATAATATATTTGAGTTAAGTTTGTTATTGACTGAAAACCATAGAGAAAAGTCTTGTTGCACTGCAGAGTATCAACAACATTGGTGATCAAGTTTATTGGGAAGTGAGATTTTGGAAACGATATATGCTTTAAGATTTTTTATTTAAAAAATTTTTCAGAAGAAATCACGCAGAAAAAGATAATTGATAACATTGAAGCAATATCCTAGGAAAGAAGGATGTTTTCTTTGAAAACGTTTCGGCTGCTTGCTTCCAATGATTATGAGTTCAAAGTTAAGATCCGCTTTAGTATAAGCGATTCTGAAACACAAGTATTATTTAGATAAAAAATTCATTTGATTTTGTCCGTTATTATTAGATAGAAGCATGAGTCTTAAATTGTTTTCTAATTGTTAGATTGCTATTTTATTTATTTCTGCAACGAACCCATTTAAATTGGTTTCTTGTATTCCTGATCCTTGAACCAATGATGGAACAGATCTAGAATTCATTTACAATGAAATTATGACAAATTTTTAACTATTATTTACTTATTTTTTTTGTTAAACCGCATATTACGAAATAAATTACTTTATCAAATTAGAATTCAATAACGATAACTGATAAGATTTTCCTAACGCATTTAAGGTGCAATACGGAACCATCGAAGCCATCTTGCCTTTCAACTTCGCCAATTCCTCGACACTGGAAAAAATTTCGCTAGCACGCAACTCCATCGCGAGGCTGGAGAGTAACGCGTTTGCAAATCTTCCCTCTCTGGTGACGCTCAATTTTGGAGAGAACCACTTGGCCGACATCAACCGAAGTGTTTTTGTCAACCTGCCCAAGTTGACACATTTATCGATGGACCGCAACAAGATTACAGGCATCGAAGACCGCGCCTTTATAGAGCTGCACAGTCTTGTTGAACTCAAGCTTTTCACCAACCAAATCAAGGTGACGTTCATTATTGATTAAAATTAATACAATGTTCAGAAATGATTTGAGATAAATAATTAACATATCTTAATTCAGCAGACAATTGAAGACTTCAAAGCATATTATTTTATTTTCTATGATTATGTTCGTTAGTCATTAATCATTTTTTTCAATTTGCCTAGATGTAGATGGTAAGTCTTTTAACCAAGGCTATTAATTAATTAAATCTAATTGTTATTGGGTTGACTCAACAGGCGATCGTCCCAGCCACTTTCAAAGGCCTCAAGAACCTAGAGATTTTAGACCTTCACATGAACCACTTGGAAGTGATCGGCGACCACACCTTCAAGGCCCTCAAGAGCCTTCAAGAACTCGACCTCAGGGGGAACTCAATCAAATACATCGCACCAGACAGCTTCATCGGCCTCACCAAACTTAAGAATTTGAACTTGCAGGTCAGTTGTATGAACGGACAACCAATTGACGAGACTGAACTTGCAGGTCAGTTGTATCAACGGTCAACCAATTGACGAGACTGAACTTGCAGGTCAGTTGTATCAACGGTCAACCAATTGACGAGACTGAACTTGCAGGTCAGTTGTATCAACGGTCAACCAATTGACGAGACTGAACTTGCAGGTGAGTTGTATCAACGGTCAACCAATTGACGAGACTGAACTTGCAGGTCAGTTGTATCAACGGTCAAACAATTGACGAGACTGAACTTGCAGGTCAGTTGTATGCAGCGGTCATCAACTAAATAGCTGATCTTGCAGGTCTGTTTTATTCAAATGGCCAACATATTGAAGATCTCATTTTGCAGGTTTTTTATTCATGGTGCGCAGCTGTGCCGCGGAAAACGACGCTGACGGAAGTTTAATCTTTCTTCTTATGCACTTGAAAATTTTTATTATTATTACCTTTTAAGACGTCAATAACTACTTTCCTCATGTCAATGATGGTCATTCAAAGATGTTTTTCAGAATAAAAATTAACTAAATGAAAATGCTATTGAATGCAGTTTTCCATATGCGCTTCCGTAAAAAATTAGGATTTTTTATTAACGTTAAATTCAATTCTAATTTTTTAATCAAATTAAGAGATTTAATTGGATAAATCGATTGTTAGTCATTGCTACACTTGGCATCAACGCAATTCATTTCTACATTCAACATATGCGCCTGTAAGCGCTGGATATGACCAGTACATATTTTCCGAAACATAATTCGAATCATCCGGTATTTTACATGTCCAGTATTTTCTAAAAATAAACTATTGATATTCTTATGTATCATTATTCAAATTCTGCATTCAATTCCCAACCATGTTCGTAGGGTGATATTTTCAGTACAAGTTGGAGGCAAAAATTAGCTCACAAAATCATATTTTTTATCGCAACATCCTAATAATAATTTACGGTTATTGCGGTCAGGACAACAAGCTGTTGTCGCTAGGGGCGACGGTGTTCACGGAGACGACCAGTATAATGAAGCTGGACCTGCGTAACAATGTGCTGGAGACTCTCACGCAAGACACGGTACAGCCTATCTTGGACAACCTCAACAACCCTCTCATGCAGTTCTACGCTGATGGTGAGTCTCCACTTGTTATTTAGAACTTATGCTGTATGTCATTATAAACTTGTGCTGTAGAACTGTTTTTCAACGTGAAGATTAAATTAATAATAAAATGGCTAAAATAGTGAGCAATTAACATTAATTTTAGAAGGCTTAAGCAAATTTTTTTCAAGAAGCAGCATATCCCGTCCATGCAAGAGATTAAATGATAAGATTTTAAGATTTTTCCGTTAATAATTTACAAAAAAACTTTGATTCAGAAAATATACCGTTATGACAACATTATAAAAGAAAAAACTTCGCCTTTGAAAGTCTAATGAAATGGTGATTTTACAACATGGAAGGAAATAAAGGAAATAGGAATTTTTTTCAGAATACAAGTTACATGTGCGAATTACGAAAAAAATGAGTTTTTAATTGAACTCCTCATTTCGCTGAGCGATAATATCTACATACAATTATCAGAAACAATAAAAAAATGGTGTGAGAACAAATTTAATTTAAAAAGACAATCATTCTTAAGAGATCAAACTTTACGACAAATTCAATCTATCATGGTTGCTGCTGTTCCCGAGTGTGAAAGGCCCAAAGATTTAGCCAAGATTTCCCACAAAAAGATTGCAGTTCACTGGCGTAAGAAGCCAACAAATGCTTTGCTGAAAGGAGGTCTTGCTCGAAAATTCTTGCGGCCCGATCGAATGAACGAGGCTCCAGAGCCCGTATTTCCCGGACAGAATGCCGACACTGCAAGCGATGAATCACTTGGCGGCGACGCCCCGTAAAATTTCTGTGCCCAATACCCAGCAATAAATACACATGAATCTTCGCAGGCCATAGACATGCTAATCTCCTAACACGGCACCCGATCAATGTGAGCCAACTTCATTAACCGCATCTACCAACAACATTATGATTCGATATATAAGAATGAAATGAATGAGGCTTACAAGCGCAGGAGTCTGATAAATTATTGGATTTAGGTTTTTTTCTGACATAATGACAGAAAAACATTGTGTATAAATCTTTTGGAATAATGCATTGCACAACAAACTTTTACCTTTGAATGCAATATAGGAGTAATCGATATGATTTCTCATTCTACAGTTTACTATTTCGTCAAAAACAATTAAGCTTCCGAAAAATTTAATTAATTTTACCACTCCATTCACAGCTTTCAGACAAACTCGGTAAGCACCGATGATGCTGGCGGTGCAGACCATGCAAATTCTGTTATTTTAGCGATCACGGTCATAGTTAATGGATTTCTCGGCGTTGTTTTCTCGACGCCGCTTGTTTTGACCCCACGATAAGCGAACGTTCACTCGCTCAATCATAGGCGAGTCTCTCGAAAATCCGACCACGCTACTGAAAACAGCAGCTGCTTATACTGACTGCCTTTGTGCTGCTGTTCTCGGCTGCTGTTCTCGGCTGCTTATACTGACTGCCTTTGTGCTGCTGTTCTCGGCGCGGCGTGAAGCCGGGCTCATGCCGACACCGCAATCTTTCATCACTTGTTGAGAAGTGGCAGACGCAAATGTTGTTACGCTAAAAAATTGCGGGAGATGAGAATCATCAAAACGTTAATTAATAAGCACGTTATTCGGTAGATGGAAAATAAATACAGGCAAGTTTGTTAAGTACATATATACAGGCAAGTATATTTTCTGCTGATCATGAAATGTAGGTATTCAAAAGTTAGGTCATGAGCTCTTGAATGGATGTATAGCTTCAATAATTACCGTTTTACTTTTACTGGTTAGAGTAATTATTTATCTCACTATTTACGTATTAACCGTTGACTACAATAAATACGTTGGAAGATGGAAATACAATTTTTAAATTACATTAAAATAAATTATTAAATCAATTACAAAAAATATGATGCTACTTTTTTACATTCCTCATAAATATTTCAAGATCCGCGATATGCTTATATAATAAAATAGCCCTTATAATATTTTAATTCAAGTCACATCTCAAATTCTACCAGCAGAACATGTTTGTATTATAGGTATTAATGTTTACGCAATGCAGATTTGAGTTAAAAGTTACATTTTAATAACATTAAGAGTTTCAATGAAAGGACGCGTTTAAGTGCCAGGTCCAGTATAGACATTCAGGTCGCGTTGCCTTCGTCGAAGCATTCCTCCATGGAGAACTATAGGGATCTCCGGCCGGTTTTTTAGAGGCAAAGTGCCAGTAAAATAAAATAATTTTCTAAATTTAAATGATGGTTTCATTGGAAGCCTGCAGAGGATCCAAGAATTTGCATACGGCTCATTATTCATCGCGAGTTAGACCCCGAATATTCATCTGTTCCACTTAAGTCCGCGGTCATTAGCAATTTGTACGGGGCCTCCGATCTTGGCTTTGTTCCAAGCCAGCCTTTGTCCATCCTAGCGAACAATTGCCTTTCTTCCTTACCACTTTTGGGAATAAGAAATTTCCGCCAGGCTTTGAGTTGCGTCAATTATCACGAGGGCATTCGACTCAGCGATGGTCGGCCCGTTACACGCGTGAAGGAACTTCCGGGCAAACCAGAGGCGCTTGAATTGGGCGTAAGAAATGCCTTCAATTGCATGCGAGTCCAGGCAGTAGGCATGGGTAATGAATTTCCGACATGCAAATCAGAGAGAAATTTCCCTCGCGAATCATCTCTTTTATTAAATAATTAATACAACCAATAACATTCTAATAATTACCGTTACCAAATTACCAATAACATTCTAATTTCACCGTTATATATTATTAAACTCTTTAAATATTCAAATATGTGTATTCTGTATTTGACGGCACAATTAGCTAGTTTAAACACGTGTGAATAATGACTGCAAAATTCGCTTTTAAAGTATTTTCAAAACCTTGAAAATCTAAATAAATTAATTTCTCCAGTTATTAATCGTGCTTATGTATAATTGTGTATAATAAATCGTACCGCAGCTTCGACGGCAACGGTACTTGTCGGTTACAATTACAAATTTTGTAACCGACAAAATTGTAGTCTGCGGAAAAAAATTAGATAAAACTATATTAAATATTATTCTCATCCTCATTGCGCGCCAACATCGTCAAGTGTTTCCTAAAATTTTCTCGAATAATTCTGAAGATATTGAATTAACCAATGATTTCTTCGACTGTGATTATAGATTAACTTATTATAATTACAAATTATATAGAATAATAAATTATTATTACATGCAAAAGTACGTAGAACTGAAATATCGTGATGATCTCGTAGAAATTAACCTTAAATTCGACCAACTGCTGTCCCGATAATTGAAGTTTAACTGCTTCATATATTTCTTCCGGTCCTCAAGTTCAAAAAATTCCCCTCAGATCGTACTAAATTTAGACTCAAGGAAACTGAAACACATTTAAATTTCACAAAGACGCTATACGGCAAACCTGAGTTAAAACCTCAACAACAATTAGCTCGACGTAGTAGTAAATAATGAATAATTTCATTTGCTTAGGCGAGTAATAAATGATATCATTGATCACGACAATAGAAAATGTCCTCTTGAATGATGTGTGCGTAAGGATAGGATGACTGTAATTTCCTTTGGTTTTCACATTCATATTCAGAACTGATAATCCCTTGGGTTTATTGACGTCTTGCCTTTAACATGCTCCAGAATATGCAATTGCAAATAACCTTCCCTGCACAATCGGTACTCTGAAGTTGTGTCAGAATCAATCGACGAGCGCTCAAGATCCTTTCTGAGCGGCTAATGATCGACACTCAATTTCTGTGATATACGTATAAAAAATTGGAGCGTGTAAATGACATAGATGACAAAAATAAATGCGACACATCATGTGCAAAAAAGGCTACGTTTAAACCAGTGAAGAGGGGGAAATGTTAATATAGGATGTCGCTAATTATGTTATTTTTAGCCCATTTTGAACGATCTATGTTAAAGCCCAAGAGAAAAAACTTAAGAAATTTACTAACACTTTTCGGAAAATATTCAACTTTACTTGAGAATATTCCCACAATATGCTGAAATTTTTTTCATCTGGTATACACCTAAATCAAATTTCAAATAGATTATTCGTGTTTCTATGCAATTGTGATTTCATATAAAAATTTTAAGTGCCGGAAAATTACAAAGAGGAAGCAAACCCGTGAATAATCAAAATATTTTTTTCCTAATTAAAAAATAATCTTGTTATTTCAGTTTCTAACATTATCACAAATGAAATAATTTATACAAATATGAATCAAACCCGTGAATAATTGAAATATTTTTTTCTCATTGATAAATAGTCTCTTTATTGCAGCTTCTAACATTATCACAAATGAAATGATTCATCTTATATAATTAATACAAACAAATTGTGTTATCACATACACAGGCAACAGTTTTCGATGCGACGACCGTCTCGCATGGATGTTCCACCTCATGAACACGACCAGCTCGTCTCTGGTACGCCACGGTCTCAGCGATATCTACTGCTACCTCGAGGGCGCCCCACTACCTACAAGACTCACTACTGTCGACACCGTCACTTACGACCACGTCACCACACCTCTCGGAATCGGTGAGATCTCCTTATATTCGAATCAAATTAATAATTTTTTTCATTAATTCCGAAGTATCAAATGTTAAATAGTGCAAGAATAATGTTTTTAGAGCATTTTCTCATTTATGGAAAAAAGGCGCTATTGTGATCGTCATGTCCGTCCGTCTGTCTGTCCGTCCGTGACTTCACGTTTTTGTCGACGAGAAAATGCGCTCTCTGTCGCTCACTGCAGTGAGTACTGAGTTATATTTTTTTAATATTACAATTTTAATATATAAATATTTTTTATATTAATGACGAACTGATGAATAAAATTAATTCACTGTTGATTACAATAAAGATTTTCGGTCAATTTAATGACCGAAATAGCTGCATATATCGAGGATGAATCAAAAGAAGATCTATTAATTTTTGGTTCCATTCATAAGGTCACAAACTTTCTTTATGCAATGCCGTTACTGTCGGACCAAAGTACGGTTTAAATAAAAAATCTTATTTCCAAGTACGTAGTTCTTTTTATGACGACCTCAGAAGCGACATCTTCTTGTTCAAGCGAAGAGAATGTCCAAAGTAATGTTCATATCCAGTCGTTCACACTTTACGAGCATATGACTTCCGTTGAATGCATCGTGAATGAGTTTCTTTTGAATGTTCTCATCTCATGTCCCCCTTGTTTAGATACTCGTCCTGCTGCTATGGCGCTATCCGTCGCTATGATCTATGAAGCAATACCAGGTCTCCGCAATTCCTTCTAATTTATTGGCACTTCTCTTTTGGCTGGTCGTGGACAAAGAGCCGATTCCTGTCTCACGAGAAGTTGGTCAAGAAATGATACCATTGTTTATTAGCTTTCTGGGTCAAGCTGAGCGATGGAAGATGCCTAGTAACGGCCTCAACACGCTCCATAGATTCTTTTAGAGACGATATTCCTGGAGTGTCGTCCACAGACCAACTTCAAAAGATGAGAACTTGTCTGACAAGGAATCTTGCTCAGAACACTGCGAAAAAATATTTCATAGATATCTGAACTTTTTTTGGTCTTTTTCATACACAGGTCCCAAAATTCAGCTCTTCCGCTTGAAGATAACTGAATTGCCGGATCACACTAGGATTCAACTCTTGAGTACCTCAGACCCAGACTGCGACCAGACGGACAATATCATCGACACGGCCTCACCAACGGACTCATACCAAGGCAACCGCTCCCGCAGCGGCACGAGGCGTCGCAACAATCGTGGCAGAGCCCGAAAGCCCATCAGCCCCTCCGAGTCTTCACCGGTCAATGAGCCTCAAAGTGACACGTCCATGACCATTGAAGAGTCAGACTTCGAGGACATGGACAAACAGCCCATGACTAGGAGGAAAGTGGCCGATTCCGCTCTGGCTGAGCCCGTGCATGATGCCAGACCTTCAATGGGGTCCCGGTCGCTCAGGGATTGGACGAACGTCTCTTTCTGCTTACTTTCCTTGCTTGCATTTAATCGAATTCTGCGTTAAAAGGATGCTGCTCATTGATGGATCCTAGCGTCGCAAGAGCGCATGAGTGTCGCTGATTTTTGACGCTACTAGTCTCTCTCCAGGTATAACTTTGTTAATTTCGTGATAGGTGTTTACACTTGCAAAGTGCATGGCTGATTGTTTTGTAGCTTGTGAAATATTTCTAAAAGTTAAAAGCCCTGAGCTCAGCAAAAGTGATTAGAAGCAAAGTAGCTCCAAAATGGTCCTTAGAAGATTTTGTCAGTAAAAATTTATATAACGAGCAGCACCAGCAAATTCCGAGATAAGTATCAGCATATTTTCTTCTTCGTATCTATCTTCAAAGGTGCGTACGTACATCGAGCTTTTCAGAAATCAATTTCATGGATAGTAAGAAATGAGATATGTAATAGTTGATATAGATTCTCAATCCCAACAGTGAACTTCAATCCAGCTGCTTTCATTGTAGATTAAGGTTGTGGAGAGTCCAAATTTAAGAAACAGTTACGGCCTTGAGGTGACTGAGGTCTGAAATGCTAGCGGCCTTGTTGTTTCCCAATCAACGATGAGTCATCGATGAAATTATCGATTTTGAAATTTATAGAAAACCTCATAACACTTTGAAAACTATTAACTAATATCGAGGTAATTCAAATATTAAATTATTATTATTAGAGTTGTTGATGCTTGGAATAAATTTGTTTTATATTTTTTAACACTGCCCAGTTCCAATGTGCACAGCTCAGACACATTGAACAAAATGTATTACCTTGAATACCTAACAAAACTGGAAAAAGAGTTCCCATTTTTTGGCATTATGTTTTTGTGAATATGAATCGCGGTGCGTTGTAAGAGTAAAAATTGAACCACGGATTTAATGAGACACATTTATTCACTTACACACCTCTGGCGAGCTTAGTCCTATGTTGTGTAAATATAAATTAGCAATACTGATACGATCTTACCTAATTATAGAATGTACATGTAGATTGTTTAACTTAAGCTTATAGTCCTAGAATTATTAAAAACTATAGTTAATACTGAATTAAAAATTAGTTCTCTGTCTCATGCCGAATTTACCGTAGGATGTAAATATAAACGAAGCGTCATTCGAAAACTAATCAACAATAGATTGTTAAAGTAATTCCTCGCATGAAATTCCATCGAATTGAGCAACGATATTCTGCTGCAATGGTACTAAGTACTTTTAAGTCTCACACGCCTTGTGCTGATCGAACTTACACGAATTCGTTTTATTGTTCTCCTAAAACTTACAACACTTGAACCAAACCTGACTTGCAAACCTGTTATGAAAACCCTTTTGGCCAGAATACTATATTTGAATAATCTCTGGAGCTATTTAACTATAGTAATAAAAAATATAACTCAGTACTCACTGCAGTGAGTGACAGAGAGCGCATTTTCTCGTCGACGAAAACTTGAGGTCACGGACAGACGGACAGACAGACAGACGAACATGGCGAGCTCAATAGTGCATTTTTTCCATAAATGAGAAAATGCGCTAAAAATTAGTTATAGTAAAAGATTTACTTCCTATAAAGGACCAGATCGCAATTCAACCGCTTGAACAACACCAGGCTTGTGTTGCGGCACTGAAAAACTGCAACAAAATCAGGCAGTTTTTTTTTTAAACTCAAAACTCTTTTAATACCTTGTGTGTTCAATCCGAAACTTTCTTCAGAGTTACGCTGATTAATTTTTATCATAATTATCCTATCATCGAATTAATTTAAGAAAATACAGAACATAAAGTGAAGCTGGCATTTCATAACACCACGCAGAGTTCGTCTGAAATTTTCCAATACATTTTTTCAAGTTTAGTCAAAAGTTTCAGTGTCTCTGTTATTCTAATGGAAGTCCCAGAGTATTTGAATGAATCAAAAACCTACTTTAATAACTTCATAGGACGGAATATCATTGACAAATTTATTTAAAAACTGCCCAAATAATTCATGTAAATTGAGTGATTGGATTTGAATTATTACCTAATAAATTCTCGCCTAATTCAAACGGTTTGTAAACCAAAAAATAAAAAGATCGGGAGCAAACAGAAATTTTTATCCGTAAACCTGAAATGTAATTTCAGGGTAAAATTTATTCTGTTCCAATAGAAATGCATATACGTTCGTTTACCAGTTCCTCCTCAAAAAACACACAATATTTTTATTATGTGCGGCTTATAGGAAGCTAAAGAACAGCGGCCGTCTGGCCGGAGAAGATACGGCCCCGAATATATTATCTAGTGATATTCACCATCCTGTAGAATGATTGCAATTTGGTGCAAGTAACTCATTTGATTTGTATTAATCCAATATAAGTGCATATATTAATGCTGACGTATAAGGTGTTTCTGGTGCCAAATAATTAAACCGCTTTATAATTATGGTAAAGCGAAATTGATTTGATATTAGAGAGAAATTAAATGTTAGACATGAGAACTATAACTGAAATGTATTCTTCAATAGGGAATATTTTGTTTTTGATTTCAACTAGGCTTCAAATTCTTTCACACGACTGGCTTTAATTTAAAAATCTAACATTACCTTATTTTGTTTAGTGAATTCGAATCTTTCTACCTGAAAATATGAAAAAAATAAACGTTCAATAACGAGAATTTTTACTCTTAAATATTAAGGCAAGCTTTCGATGTTCATTCTTTTGTCCATGATTTAAATTTTAAATCTACCAACTCAATTACTTGAAGCAAGATACCCAATAATTGCAGGATATTATAAACATTATTATGGATGAATATTTTTTCTATCAGACTGATGCATTTTAATCAAACATAATGTAACAGTTCAAATAACAGTTCAAATGTAATTTTTTTGTTAAACAGTTACTAATTTCCAAATGCAGCCTCAAGAATCTGTCCGTTAACAATTTCTTTAACCCAATCACTGCCATATATAAATGACGCGAGTGAACAAACTTGTTTTGTTAATCTAACTCTATGTGGTTCTGTACAGTATTATTTCGTTGAGAAATGTGTCTGATCAATTGGTGCTATTAAAAATTTAACACTTGTTTAAAATAGGTTTAAATGTTCGGTAAATACGCCCATGCTTTGATTAATGAATTCAGCTTATCTTAATTAGGTATATGCTCCCTTAAGTTAGTATAACTTATTTTGTAGCTTTCAAATCTTAACCTGAATGAACGTGAGATATTACATTAATGCATATTGAAATGCTGGTTACCTGCTTGCTAGGTCTTCGTAGAAGTAGGGAAAAGCAGACGATGCATTTCAAAAAATTCTATGTCAAAGCTTGATATGGACAACATGGTAACAAAAAATTCTATGTCAAAGCTTGATATGGACAACATGGTAACAAAAAATTCTATGTCAAAGCTTGATAAGGACAACATGGTAATTTTTTGGCAAACTCCAAGTAAATTATGCGTCAATAAGCATTTATTCCAGTACCCAGTATCTATCTTTCACAGCATTCTTGTTTTCACGCTCTTCATAGAGTAACTCCCTTTTTTCATAATAAATAATCACTCAAGCCTGTTCAACAGTCAATGGAAACGGTACATCGCTTAAATATAAATTGTAGAAAACTCGGGAGTAAAAAAATTACCGTGGAACAATTGGTACGTTTCCTGTTCCGAATCTACTATTTCATATAATAACATACGTTTTCACGTAAAATTTCCGTAATTTTATTATAAGCAAACAATTTTCTTATTTTTTATGTTAACTTTACACCAAAGCACGATTTCTATTGTGATTTCGATTTTTTTGCATAGTAAAGCTGATTGTTCTTCCGAAGTGACGCATTATACCTCAAAAATGTATAAAGCATTTTCATCGTTTCTTGGTCTGATGCTACAAAAATATATAACAAATTCCCTCGCCGCTTATATTACCATGTAAAGAAGTAGATTTTTGTGGATATCAATACTTCCAAAGGTATTTGTGCTGAATAATACACATTAAAATTTCATTCACAATCTAATGTTAATATATGAGTATGTGAACGACAAAACTAACTTCTCAATAGCTATTCAATTAATTAAGAACGCATGCCCATATTTTGATGCATTTTCACTGGTGAATTAAGTCACTCTCTAATCGAGCTTGTCAAAAACGCTATTTTGTCATTCTGAAGGAAACGTCGAAAATGAAACGCATAATTGTACATTTTAGACTTTAGAGCATGCGCACTTGCCTGTTCAGTGTTAGCGCCGTGCCGAATCAAAGTCCATTCTTCTTATTTTATAATTATAAATGTGTTGATTTCTCCTCTATGGCTTTCCACTTCTGCTAATATACATGTGAATAAATTTGACGAATTTGTTGTGAATTATTTTCTGTTCCCCACTTCTGTCTGTCAGTCATGTGATTGAAAGCGGGTTAGTTTAATGTAAACATAAAATTTTATGTTGAAAAAAAAAAACACCTTAAAAAACCTCGGTTTTTGGCTATTACATGGAACTGAAATTTGAACAGAGCACACCATGAAAGATTATGAAATCTGGAAAAAAAACCTACAGACATGTATAGTTCTTGGTGACAACACGAGCGCTCTATGATCGTGGAGCTAAAACTTTTATAGCTCCTCGTTTTAATGTATTTGTACGAATATAGCTTTAAGAACAATTTTGGGGGAAATAAATTAATTTCCTGTCCTGTTTCTAGAGGCTGCAAAAATGATCCTCCAGATGAAATCACGAGAAAATATTTCCAGCTCAGAAAACAAAGTCGTTTAAAGGGACCCAAAACAAATATTGCTTAAAATTAATAAACCATAACTTCAACAATAGAAAAAATCATAATTAATGATATCAAATCACACATCCTAAAAAAGTATGGGTAATAAAAAAATTATCGATTAAAAAAAACTTTGCAAACATGTCCTGAAGAAGAAAGTTTATTGTAAGTCGGGAATGGAATAAATGCAGCTTCTTGCATCAAAATAGCGCATTCAGAAGCATAATGGTGCAAGTCACTCTCTCTCTTCGAATTCTAGTTCCAGGGGACAATGGCTCTGGCCATAATAATTCATCTTTTAGAGGATCTCGCACTTGCGGGGTCGTAGCTTCATTCCTCATTGATTATTATTTGATGCATACAGTTGAGAGCCTGTGCATTTGCATGGCCAGCGTGAAAAATGTTTTACTGAAGCAGTCGAATGCACCACAATTCTTTCCATGAATAATAAAACGAATCGTTTTAGCGTGCCATCAGCTCAGGGAGAGACATCGTATTACACCCTGGACTGGAATGACTTCCTGACAATGTTGACGCTCGTGCGATGGATCGCAGAGCTGATCGTGTGCCAACTTGTTAGCCATCAATGCCGAGGACATGTGTGGTCAATTATATGCATGAATGCGATAACAAGCGTTTGTATTGTGAAGGGACTTTTGATATCAAGAATATTTGAATAATTTCTTGATATTAGTAACTTAATCTACCTATGTATATCTTAATGGAGTCACTAACGTGTATGGCTGTGAAACTTGTGGCTTGGACTCAGGTCTCCAAGTTAGCAAACGAAGAACATCATAATTAAAAGGAAAAGAATTTATACGTTGAAATTACTTCGAAACGTTCATTTGATGAAGTTAGCATCGTGGTCATCATGCGTCTCGTCATTGTGATGACAATATCTGAACATGCAGTTATAGTAATTCAATATTGGTTGATGATCCCGATGGTGATGGATGAGTTTCACCAATACAATGGGGTTAGAATAATTGAAGCTCGCTATCGGGCGATGTGAAAATATCAATACTACAATATTATGACCATTGACTACCACCGCGGTGCCGCCATGTAAAGTTTGTTGGAAAATTGCATGTATAAAATAAATGCAGTAAGTCGAAGGTACAATAATTTTATTGTAAATCGGAAAGTTGATATAGCACCGGCACTGAGTTGGACCAACACAATGCCATCTATGAAGCACCTTTGATTTACTCAAAAGGTACAGCAGTAGCAGTGATGCAAATGTCTTCATTTGGAACGCGCGTCAGTTACGCTCTGGTCTGATGGCTTGATAGCTCCAAGAAGGTCCCAGCCTGAGCGACCAGGAACTGCCCACTCGCCGCAACATCATAAAATTTGCCAAATCCGGATTAAGATTTTAAGACGCCCTTAAAAGCTATCAGAATCTCTACATAAAAGCTTGCGTTTCAGATAAGTTAAGCACTTTTTTCCGAGCTAAATAGAGAACAATCTCTTATTTTAGGAGAACAAATTCCAGAAACCGAGTAGTAGTTCTCAACTTTACTACCAGTATTTTGATTAAATTAGCTTAATTCACCCATGCTGAAAGTATCATGTCGAGCTAACGTTTAGATCGTTGCAATATCGAAACACATGGTACGGTGATACAGAGACGAATTCAATTCATATTCATCACAATACTTCTAAACATAAACG